GAACCCCAGCCCCGTGTGCCCCCTCCCGGGGGGCCTGGGGGGGGGGGAGGAAGAGGATCACGAAGACGATGAACACGTGGTGTAGGGATTGGCCAGAGGGAACGACTTCCTCGTGCGTACAGCATAAAATAAAGTAAAGCGTGCCCCAAGGTCTCCCGTTGGCCAAACCTACTACAACGCAGCAGTCGAAGCCTCTGCAAAAATAGCGGGGACCCGGCAACCTCGCCCCCCCCTCCCCCGCTGCAACAACAACGGCGGTGCCGCACTAAACTTCTCAAACGTACCTGGTCGTGCGACACAAACAGCAAGCTCTTCGCCGGACCGACGTGGTCCACGGTAACGGGAACTACGACAACAACAACCACGACCCTAACAGGAACAAACATGAAAAATACATGCAGGATATCCCCTGTCTCTCTCTCTCCCTGGGAATGTACCCTCTACCCGATCAACAAAAAAATCTGACCTGTTGGAGCGATTCCGCGTAGCCCCTGAACCCACACCGTTCTCCTTCCACAGCTCGCTCGACGCACGCCGCGAGAGCCTCCCCCGCAGTTGAAGGCGTCGCCCCGTCCTTCAGGACCGGGGACGCCCCGACGAGGGCGAGCGACGCTCCCACGGGGTCCGAGCACCAGCAGCCGTTGTACAACCTCGAGGTGAGCACGTAGGCGTAGGCGAGGTCGGTGGCCAGGGCCGGAAGGGTCGGAGACGGCTCCCTCGCGTTGATCGTGGTGAACCCGGGGGCCTGGAAGGCCTGGCTCAGCAGCGCCGCGAACGAGTGCCGCGTGCACGACGACGACGAGCCCTCCTGCTCCTCCTCCTCCTGGCCGGTTGCTGTCGCCGCCGCCGTACCGCTGCGGCTTGCGGGGAACTCTGAACCGGACGACGACGCCGACTGCTCCGGGGTAGAAGGTCGCGTCGGAGGGGAAGACCCCGGAGCCCCCGATGGCGGGGTCGCGAAGGACGAGCACACCGCGTGGTGTTTGTGGTGGCGGCAGGGGTCTACGACGGGCGGCGGCAGCGAGTGGCTCGTGCGTCCGCCGGCGGTGATCGGGGCCACCTCCTGCACCCCGGCCGCCTGAGTCCACCAGGGCACCCACGGGACGATCAGCTTCCCCAGCCGCCCGCTGGCCACCTCCCTGAAGAACCTCCCCTTCTCCTCCTCCGTCAGCAGGTCTAGCATCCCGCCATCGTCGCCGCTGTCGACTAGACGCCGCCGCTGCTGCTGCTGCTGCTGTTCGCGTTCCTTCACCCGACTGTCTTCAAAACCGCCCGGCCTCGCCTTTCCTGAACCCCCCCCCGCCCTCGCCTCCGGCTGCGCCCTCCGGCTGCCCCTCCTGGGCAGCTCCCCTCCCCCGCCCGCTACCACACCGCGACGGTTCGAAGAGGAAGGCGCTCGCGCGTCGGAGGAAGAGGAGGAGGAGGAGGAGGGGGAGGAGGAGGAGGGCAACGATCGGCCGATCTTGGAACCGCGAGAAGCGTTAACCTTAACGGCGGCGTCAACGGTCACGGTGTTTGCGCTGGAGGCGGTTGTGGCAGCAGCAGCAGCAGCAGCGGCAGCAGCGGCGGTGGAAGGACTTTTGGCGGAGGAAGAAGAAGGTTTCGCCGGCAGCGTGTGGCCGCGGTCCTTCAGCGCCAGCGCCAGCGCCTCCAGCCGCTCCGGCTGGAACATTAGCTCCCCGTCCTCATCCTCACCGACCTCCCCCTCCTCGGCGTGAGGGTCGTCACCACCGTTGCCGTCGCCACCCCGGTCCGTAAGCCGGATGCGTCTCAAAACCTCCACCATGCTCGCCCGCCGTCCGGCCTTGGGGCCCTTGACGCCGCTACCCCGCTCGACTTCGTCGCCCTCTCTGAGCCGAGTCTCACGCTCGACGTGCCCGCGAAAGAACGCCTCCGTGCAGCCCGACCCGTGCACCTGATTTTTTATTAGTGGGAAACAAGTTCGGTTGGCGTTTCGTTAGGGTTTGTCGGGGTGATACTGATAGGAGCCTTGCGTTGTCAGCAGTTGGCCGAGAGAGGAAGGAAAAGGGGACGACGACTCGAGCGGTTCGGAAGGCACGCGTCTGCATCAAAATAGGTCCGTGGTCGGCGAGCGCGCTGTCGCAAGGCGCGTTGTTTGAAGCCTACCCGATTGACGTGAGCAACGAAGCGATGCGAGGTAGTGCCGTATCCGTGGGGGTTAGGTTTGGTTTGTGCGCCTTATCCTCCCTGCTCCACTACGGTTCGCATTTCGGTGCAGCCGTTCTTTCGGCAAAACACCTCAACTATTGTAGGCAATGTTGATCCGGTTGTCCCTACTGCTATCTCCGTGTTTAGACTTCAAGGCACCCACCCGGCAGGCGTCCCTGGATCCTTGCGGGTGTTGTTGTTGTTGTTGTCTTCACATTAAAAAAAAGCGGGCGTAAAGACGTTTGAACACATGGCTACGAATGGATTAACGGCCCATTGTCTCCAACGGGTAAAATCTATCTTTGATGACAATTTTGTTCATCCCATCCATGAATAAAAGAAGATACGGCTGGAAGAGAAAACGGTCAACTCTCCACCGGAGCGTCTGGCTTGAACGGCATTCACGCCGTTTCTGGTGCTCTCAGCGCTCAGCTTCACGAACAAAGTTGAAATGGTTGTTGAGGTGATGCGGTTGTGGGTTGTGGGACTTGTATCCAAGTTGGATACCACCACGAAAAAAGCAGGGCGACAGCAGCGATGACGTTAGATATATTTATATATATATATATTTTTTTCTTAATATGACACCACGAAACCATCTCCATCACAGAAAAGAGTCTGAGACAGATTAGCAATATTTGTAAATTGCGCTCCATGTGTGTGACTTTCAACAGTTGGTCCGCAATGGTGCAGCGGTCGATGCATGAGAGTTTCCTGGAAGCGTTATTATCCCCAACCGCTCTGTCTGTTGCTGCCCTTTCGTGGCGCGAAGAAAGATGGACTGGGTCGTGAGGTCGGTCAACTTGTACAACATTAAGTGTCTGCTCGGAAGACGCTGCTTCGCATCAACAAAAGTATCATGTGGTCACGATCTTGCGTTTTTTTACGCTTATTTTGTTCGCGTCTTCAGGCGCAACCTGGTTCCAGGTGCACGATGATCATGGCGGACAGCAGTCAGTGGTCCTCCCGTACTGCTGTAAGGACTCCCACAAAACTCGCGCAGCCGTCGTGTGGCGCTACAACCTCGAGTAGGAGGAACTACTGCTGTAGTCTGGCACGGGTGGGAGGCGGCGGCTGGACCTTGTAGACAAACGAGACGCGCTATTGTCTATCCTGAACTGCAACATTGACTCTCCGCTTTTATGGGTTATCGTGGGGGCATCGTCACCACCAACAACGTTGCTGTGAGTTGAAACAAAAAGTATTGTGTGCACTGCCCAAGAGGGATTGAATTCGGGGAATCAATTACACCTCGCCACCACAACACCCGCCCTTTTCTAAGACCCGCCCGAAATACGAAGTGATTTAACGGCCCGAAGTCCGAAAAGGGGTTATCTAGCGGGGCCTGCCCATGCAAAGGCCCGAAGGTCAACCAACGGACAGCAGCGGGGAGGCTTGTCAGCAACCACAATTCATCCACTCGGTCCACTGCTGTGATGTGCATCCATCCTCCGATCCATGCCAACCGTCAGAAAAAAGTAACTTTCTCGCCCTCCTCTCAGGGAGGGCAATGTGCACCCCAGCACGTTGCACAGGCTACTACACTCCACGGGCACACCAGAGTAGACGTGGCTGTTGTAATATCGCCACGATGGGACTGACCTTGTAGCACTTGGAAGAGCAGTATCCAACGAGACACCTCGGGCAAGAGTAGTCTGCAGAGGCACGGGCGCAGACGGAGCAAACTCGGCCTCCCCGCCCCGCTCCCGCCGCTGCGAGCGTCACGTCCTCGCCTTCCGCTCTCGCTCTGCCGCGAACAACGACCTTCAGCTCGTTGTTTTTGTCTTTTGCGTCCTTCTTCCCCTGCACCCCTGCAGCCATGGGAGGAGATGCTTCAGCCCCAGAGACAGCTGCAGCAACAACAGCACCCTCTACGTCATATTTCTTCACGCGCCGTTGCCCCGCCCTAGGCCGCACCGGCAGCGGCGTGATGCCTATGGTAGATCGCCGCCACTCTTGCTGCTGGGTTGATGCAGCCATCTGATCAAGCGCGCTCGGCGAGGCGAGGCAAAGAGGGAACAGACGGACAGACGTGGAAAACGTGAAAACGTGATGGTGTGATGCGGGTGAGTTCATTTTTCCGCCGGCCTGTGGGGCTCCGTGGATTGACATGGATAGTAATTGCGCCGCGTTTCAGGAGCAATGGCAACTCTGCAGCACCGCACACAGCAACACAGCAGTACATTGCTGCGGCGTCGCAGCCGTCAACACACCAAACCATGAGGAGCTGGGACGCCGTCGTTGCCGGTCTTCTGCTTTGTGCTTGCAGTGCTCCAACAGGGGAGTCCTTCCACTTGTCTCCGTCATCCTGCTGGACATCATGGTCGTCGGCCTCATGCTCGCACAGAGGGCGATCTGCCACCGCACCTCCTGGTGTTGCTGCCGCTACCACTCGGCGTAGCTCGAGACATCACTCGACACGACGGTCCAGGCGAATCAGCAGACGGAGTTCGAAGATTCGCATGACCGAGGATGCAGCAACAGCAGCCACGCAACAGCAGTACACGGCTCAAGACCTCGAAGCGCTCTCCCGCAGCGAGCTCCAAGGCTTGTGCAAGAAGCTCAACCTACGAGCAGTCGGCAAGACCTCGGAGCTGCTGTCCAGAGTGCTGGAGAGCCATGATCAAGCTCGCGGGGACAAAGCCTCGGGCACCAAACCCCCCACCACAAAATCGACTGCTTCTTCTTCTCCGAAAGACGAAGCGCCCATGGGCGAGTCAACGATGGCAGAACTGCTCTCGTCCGTTGACGATGGCGGCAACAACACCAACAACAGCAGTGGTAGCCAGGAGAAGGCGACACCAACACCAACAGCAGCGCCAGCGGGGGCGGCCACTCCGTCGACCGATTTCTTCCTGGAAGATGTCCGCCCGGTGTTTGACGAGCTGTCGGACGAGCAGTGGGCGAAGGTGGGGCAGCTGGGGCAGCTCCTGACCGAGTGGAACGGCAAGATGAACCTCATCTCCAGGAAGGATATCGCCAACGTCATGCCGCGGCACGTAGTCCCGTGTCTTGCCATGGCCAAGGCGCTCGACTTTGAGGACGGCACTTACGGTGAGATGCGTGGCGCGGGGGGAGAGACAACTATAAAGTAGAGGGAGAGGGGGGGTTAAGGAGAGGGGAGGGGCAGGAGATTGTGACATGCTGCTGCGGAGTGGCGCAGAGGGAGGTCGCCGCACGCGTGTCGATGCTGTACAACAGCCCGCAACGAACGACACGAAAGACGGTTGACAATTTTTACGAGATAGAGCCGTTTGGTCAGCTACAAATCCCTCTTTGTTTATTCCAGAGCGTGTTTGCGCCGACTCTTGCAACGCACAACATTCCACAAAAATGTAACGTCCACCTCCCCTAGCCCCGAAAACCTGGACAAAAAAAGCGAACCATCAAATCACACACACCGTCACCGCACCCCCGCCATGAAGCCCGTCTAAAACCCTACCCCCTGATCCTCAACTGCCACCCCCGACGTGAATACCTTCCTTCGTTTTTTCTGTCAGTGCTGGACGTTGGCACGGGAGGAGGCCTCCCCGGCCTCCCTCTAGCGATTTGCTTCCCGAAGGTGAAGTTCACGCTTATCGACGGGACGGGTAAGAAGATAAAGGCCGTGGCCGACATGGCGGACCGGCTGGGCCTTACGAACGTGAGGACGTTTCACGTCAGGGCAGAAGAGGTGAGAAGTTTGTTCGATCCGCCCCGGTGTGTCACATCCACCCTTGTGCTACCGCCGTGGAGTGAAAGCGGTCGCTCGGTCTGGTACACGCTTAAGCACGGCCACGTCCTGCTGTTGTGTCTTCACGAAGAGTTGCCACGCAACACGGACTTGTGGTGGCGAGGTTGCCAACCAGCGGTGCGCTTTCCCGAGGTGCAGCACACGTGTGTTGTTTTTTTTTAGAGGGTTTTGATGACAAGAATTAGACCGGGACATCGGACAAGACACGTTTTTTTCTGTCGTGCGCGTATGTGAATAGATACACACATACCTCGCCTCAACACCTACGGCATGAACCAGCAGTCTGTGATGCCTGTTTTGACGGTGGCCTATGCATACTCCTTGATTTTTATTTTTTGGTGTCTTTAACTGTTAACATATCTGCACTCCGCCCTTGACTCAAACCCGCCTTTGGTGTGCCTACTCCCACACGCCCCACGTCACCGCCGCGACCTGAACGCCCCCACGTCGGCATCCACCGCCGCCACCATGGCCATCATCGTCAGGTCTACGAAGCGTTCGACTTTGTCATGGGCAGGGCGGTGACCAACCTCCCGAAGTTCGTCGGCTTCATCGACAAGAACTTGAAACCGAACGACGGCCGGACAAGCAACCCGGCCGATAGCAACAGAAGCAGCAGCAGCAGCAACAACAGCCTCAAACGAGGCATCTTGTACATGAGGGGGGAGGTCTCGGAGGAGGAGCTGGCGGAGCTGGGGGCGCGGCCGTCAACGGTCATTCCTCTCCAGCGGGTGTTGGAAGAGGCCGGGCAGGACGGGGACGTGGGTTTGGGAGGCGGTGTCGACGACAGGGGTTACTCGTCGATATTTCACTTTACATCGGAGGCTATCTGGAACAGGGTACCCATCGCAAGTAGCGAGGGGGCTAGAGAGTGAAATTGTCAAGTTCAGCGGTCGTAGATGCCATCAATTTTGTTGTTGATTTGTTGTCTCTACGTGCCTCTGTGACAAACGTCCCGAGCAAGTCAATCGTGCCGTAGAGCCGAAGTAAATTTTTGCCATTTCTGGGCTCGTGCTTTAATCGCCTCGAGAGAAGAGAAGCGCGTGTTCAAAACATGATTGTGTGTGTTTACCAACTGCTTGGCTGCAGGTGAACATTTCGCAAGATAATGGTGTTTGATTACGCTTGCGAAAGGCTTGCGAAAACACCTCTCCCTGCACTTGGGTTGCGAAAGTTTCCAGGACGTGTATGGCGGCTATAAGTGATAACCGAGACTCTACGGTGTAATAGAATCGTGTACGTGCGCATTCGCGGTAGCGGCCGGCGACAGGCCCAGGTCCGCCCGAGGACCAACGTGTGAGACACGGTTTGCCGGCCTGATATGCCCGTCCCTGGCGAAAATCTAGGCTCTACGCGCGCGCCCCGCCCACCTTTTTGAAATCCTTGGTTCGCCTTTCAGAAGCCCTATCCCCAACAAACCCACCGCGACCGTGTGACCAATTCCTACATCCGACGGGCCTCATGAGGGTCGCGGAAACATTCGGAATTCGGTGCTCTATACTCACGGGTTTTGAAACAGCTCGGCACATCCAGGGCACTGCAAAAGTATTTTGAGTCGGCCTCACAAGCCGCCCTTGAAAGATCACACCACAAAAACCTTGCGCCATCTTGTATCCGACGCAGCTAGCTTACAGCAAACGGAGGATGTTCACTTCCTCCATTGTAACCGCTGTAACGGTCCTCTGATGTACCACAACGCACGCGGTCAAGCACGCATCAGTGAGGTACTGCCATTGCCCGCAGACACAGCGGTGCGGGTTTCATAGCTGGCGAGGAAAGGTTGCCAACATAGTTGGGGTAAAGCCCGCACAATACATGAGGATTTGGAGGCACTCCACCTGTGTGCCGGAAGGGAGACAAGGTGTCCGCGAAACCTTATCATCCCTCGCACGCCGAGAGCGAAATGATTTCAATGGACTTGATCGGCATAGCAGCCTCAAAGGATAGCTGTGCTGCAGCAGCCAAGCTTTCTCAAAGCCTGCACTCAACAACAGCATACGGACACGACCCGCTTGTACATTTTGATTCCGGTTGCGACGATGAGGATCACAACAGTTAACAGAGACGTGTGTGTTTCAGCTTTTCCTTCCACGGCGTTGAACGAACGCGACCTCAACACAAACGCTCAGTCACAAAAGTGTAAAAGCGCTCAACCTCCGTCATCTTCGCTGCTATCGGTGTACCGCATCATCAAAACAAACAAGAGCACCACCGATAGCAGGACAACAGGAGACCCCCCCCCCCCCCCCCCCCCCCCCTCT